AAAAAGCATTTTGGATGTTTATATAAGAAAGCCTTTGTGGATTTTTACCTTTTGATTAAGTAGCTTTGTGAATGATGGTGGTTACTTTGCCACCCTGTTTCCCTCTTCTAATTTACATTTACATTAAATTTTAGTCATTTAGCAGACGCTCTATTATCCAGAGCGATGACAGGAGCCAATTAGGTGAAGTGCCTTGCTCAGGGCAACCATTTACGTCATTTCGCACGAAGCTCTTAATCCAGAGTGACTAAAAATATCCAGGAGCGACACCTATCGCCAGTGGGAGATAACCACTTTACAATTATACTTTTTTTTTTTTTGGGGGCGGGGGTGGTGGCGGTTTAGTATTAGTAGTTGAAGGAGACTTTATCCTATCCCAGGGGTTCCTAAAGAGGTGGTGTTTTCACTGTCTCCGAAGGTGAGTGAGTGTGACTACGCTGTCCTGGCGTGTGAGGGTCTGAGGGAGCTTGTCCACATTGGGGTGCCCAGAGCTATGCGAACAGCTTTTGACTGGGCTGAGCGGGAAATCTGAGCGGGGGGGAACATCTCCGCAGAGAAGGGGAGGCCACAGGCCCGAGGTGGTATGAACGCAATGCCCTCGCCTGGGTGTAGGGACTGATCAGAGCTGAAGGTGACGAGGTTGCCGTTCCCCTCACTGCGAAGAGGCAAGCCACCATGGTCTGTAATGGATGCGAGCTTCAACTGGAAGCCAGTGGAGTGGCGGAGGAGGGGGGGGGTGGTGACGTGAGAGACTTGGGCAGGTTGAACACCAGACGGGCTGCGGCATCGGGATGAGTTGTGGGGTTTAATGGCACAGGCAGGAGCCCAGCAACAGCGAGTTGCAGTAATACAGAAGGGAGATGTGACAAAGGGCCTGGATAGGACAATGTGCCGTTCCGTGTTGTAGGAGGGTCGTACTCTCCGAAGTTGTAGGAGCATGTATGACCTGCAGGAGCGGCGTAACGCCTTGATTGTTGGCGGAGAAAGAGAACACGACAGGGTGTTTCAGGTAACGCCAAGGGCTTTCGCTCTGGGAGGGGACACAACGGAGTTGTCAACCGTGAGATGGCGAGATCATGGAAGGGCAAGTCCTTCCCCGGGAGGAAGAGCAGCTCCGTCTTGACAAGGGGGTTCAAGCTTGTGTGGTGATCCGTAATCCATACGTGATATGTCGGCCAGACAGCAGAGATGCGATGCGCCCACCGGGTTATCGAAGGGGGGAAAGGAGAGATTAGTTGGATCGTCAGCGTAGCAATGATAGGATGAGGCAATTGTGAGGATTAGGACAGAGCCAAGTGACTTGGTGTATAGGGAGAAAGGATGGAGGGCCTAGAAACTGAGAAATTGGGGGAACAAAGTGTCTTCCCCTTGTCTCACTCTTCCTCCCTCCACCTCTGACTTCTACTTTTCTCCTCCCTCTTACCACCCCCACTCTTTCCTTGTCTTCCCCCCAGTTATGCACTCCACTCACTTTCTCTTTCCTTTAGTTTTCTTTCCCCTTATCCTCCATTCCGCTCCTCCTTTCTTTCACTTCCTCCCCAACCTCTTTCCTTGCCTCTCCAATCCTTTTCTCCGCCCTAATGAGTTCACCTCTGCTACCTTGTTATTCTTCCTTCCCTTGCTTTGCCTTTTGTATTGTTACACTTCTGTCCATCCATGTGTACTTCTTCCTTGCTTTGCTACCCCTCCCCTCCCCTCCCCTCTTATCCCCCTGCCGGCACTCATATTTTTCCCTCCTTCTCCCCCCCTTTCATTTCTCTTCTTCCCCTCACTATCCCAAAGTCCCCCCACCCTCTTTCTCTCTTCTTCTCTCTTTCTTATTCCTCACGTCCTCCCCACCCCTATCCTCCCTGTTGCTCTGGCCCCCGCTATTCTTTTACCATCCTCCCTCAAACCCCCTTTTCACACACTCACCCCCCACTTTCCCATCAGTACCTTCCCCATAGTATTGTTTAACCGCATTTTTTTACATTTCCTTCTACTCGCCCTCCCCCTCCCTTCCCTTCCTCGCCCTCTTCTAGCCTCATACCCCCTTTTCCTGCCCCTCCTCTCATATCTGTCCCCTCTGTCATCTCTCCTTCTTTCTCTTCTCTGGCCTCCCTTTTCTCCTTCACTCCCCTCGCTCTCCTTTATCTTCTCGTTCCATGTTTCTCTTCCTCTCGCTCATCCGTTCATTTCAATCCTCCCTCTTCCTACCCCGTTTTCCTCCCATTTGTTCTCCGTTGGAGCGCACGTGGGCGGAAGGACAGCTTCTAGCCACGCCACTTGGTAGGAGCGATACCGGAAGGTCTGGACGCACAATCCAGGAAGGACCGCAGCCGGGATGACCAGCTCGGAGAGGGTGGAGAGGAGATCTGATGGATTCAACTGTATCAAAGGCAGGCAAGCAGACGGTTCTAGAAGGACAGAGCAGAGGAGAGAGATTAGCTTTAGCAGGCGGAGAGCTCAGTGCACAGGAAGAAGCAGTCTCAGTTGAATGACCAGGTCCTGAAACGACTGGTTTGGATCAGAAGGTCCATTCTGAGAGAGTAGCAAGAGAGTTGGCTCTAAGACGGCACGCTCAATAGTTTTGGAAGAAAAGAAAAGAAGGGATTACTGGTCTGTAGGTGTTGACATCAGTGGGATTCGAGTGGTTTTTTGAGAAGGGGGGTGCAACTAGCGCTCTCTTGAAGACGGAAAGGGGACCATGGCCAGCGGTCAAGGATGAGTTGATCAGCGAGGGTGAGGTAGGGGAGAGAAGGTACCGGAGATGGTCTGGAGAAGAGAGGAGGGGGATGGGGTCAGCGGGCAGGTTGTGGGCGGCTGATTGCAGCACTTAGTCGCAGATTTATTGGAGAAGAGAGGGGAGAATGAAGTAAAGCATAGGGTCGGGCAGTGTGGACGCAGGACCAGCAGTTCATTAGACAAACAAACGAGGATCGAGTCGTCAACCTTCTTTAAAACGTGGTGGAAAAAGTAATAACAGAGAGGGAGGAGGGGGTGGCGGGGGTGGGGGGGGGGGGGCGGGGGGGGGTTGGGGGGAGGATTCGTGGGGGGGGGGGGGGGGGGGGGGGGGGGTGGGGGGGGGGGGGGAGGATCAGAAGTGCGGAGAATTGTGGCAAAGAGCTGCCTAGGGTTTAGGGCAGATGATTGGAATTTAGAGTGGTAGAAAAGCTGGCCTTAGAAGAAGCAGAAGAAACAGTATGAAGGAGAAATGTGAAGAAGAGGAGGGAGTGAAAAGAGCCAGTCGCAGGGAGTTTAGTTTTTTCCATATTCAGCCTAGCTGCCCGGAGTAGCTAACTGTTCTTGAGAAGCAATGAGTCATCAAGCCACAGAGCCATTTAATGGGATGCCTGTTTATCTAGTCTACTATATTTACTCTCTCAGTCAATCTCTAGTTACTCTATTCTAATAGCTAGGTCTACTCTCTAGTCTACTCTATCTCTATTATCTATCCTTATTATCTTCTCTCTCTCCGGTCTCGGTCTCGCTCTCATCTCTCTGTATCTCGCTATATATATCTATCTCTATCTATCTCTCTCTCTCTCTCTCTCTATATATTCTCTCTCTCTCTCCTCCTCTCTCTCTCTCTCTCCTCTCTGTCCTCTCTATCTCTCTCTCTCTCTCTCTCCTCTCTCTCTTCTCTTCTCTCCTTTCTCCTTCTCTCTCTATCCCCTCTCCTCTCTCTCTCTCTCTCTCTCTATCCCCTCTCTCCTCTCTTTCTCTCTCTTTTTCGGTATCTGGCAACACTTATCTCTCCTCCCTGGAAAGTCCAAAGAGGCTTGTGGATTTTACCTTGCATATACATGTAGCCTTTGGGATGGTGACTTTGTCCCCGGTTTCCCTCTTCATTTAATGGCGACTGTTATTTTAGTCTACACTCTAGTCTACTCTCTATTCTACTCTCTAGTCTAATACATTCTACTCTCGAGTCTACTCTATATCTACTCTCTATGCTTACTCTCTAGTCCTCCGCCCTCCCTCTCTAGTCTACCTCTCTATTTTACACTCTAGTATACTCCTATTCTACTCTCTATCTACTCTCTATTCTATCTTTATTCTACTCTCTAGTCTACCTCTTATTCTCACTCTATTATACCTCTATTACTACTTCTAGTCTACTCTATATTGCTACTCTCTTGTCTACTCTCAGGCTACTCTCTATTATACTCTATATTCTACATATCTAGTTACTTCTCTATTCTACTCTCTGTTGCTCTCTATATACCTCTATTCTACTCTCTATTTACTCTCAGTCTACTCTTATTCTACTCTCTATTCTACTCTCTATTATACTCTATAGCTATCTCTAGGCTAATCTCTAGTCTTACTCTCTAGTTCTCTCGATTTAATCTCTAGTCTACTCTATTCTACTTCTCTAGTCTACTCTCATGTCTACTCTCTATTCTTACTCTATAGTTACTCTCTAGTTAACTCTATCTACGCTCTATTCTACTCTATAGTTACTCTCTATTCTACTCTATGTCTACTCTCCTATATTCTACTCTCAGTCTACTCTCTAGTATACTCTTAGTCTACTCTATATTCTACTCTCTAGTATACCCCTCTCTATTTGTACTCTTATTCTACTCTCTAGTCTACTATTATTATACTCTCATAGCTCTACTATATTATACTCTCTAGTATATCTCTATTTACTCTCTAGTGATACTCGCTATTCTACTCTCTATTATAATCTCTAGTTACTATATATTAACTATGCGTCTACTCTCTATTATACTCTATATTATACTCTCTATCTACTCTCTAGTCTTAATATCTATTAGACTATCTATGTCTACTCTCTTATTCTCCTATAGAGTATACTCTCTAGTCTACTCTTCTATTATACTCTCTTAGTCTACTCTCATTCTACTATCTGTATATCTCTATTCTAATCTATATTTATACTCTCTAGTCTACTCTCTGTGACTATATATATACTCTATAGTCTACTCTCTAGTCTACCTTATATATTCTACTCTCATATTCTACGCTCTAGTCGACTCCTATTCTACTCTCTATTCTAATCTCATTATACTCTCTAGTCATACTCTTATTTTCCTACTCTCTAGTCTTACTTATCATTCTACGCTCTCTTCTTACTCTCCTATTACTCTATATTAAATCTCTATTCTACTCTATATTATACTCTCTATTATACTCTCTAGTCTACTCTCTATTCTACTCTCTAGTCTACTCTCTTTAGTCTACTATCTATATAACTTATAGTCTACTCTCTAGTCTACTATCTATTATTTTCTACTATCTATTCACTCTCTAGTCTACTCTCTAGTCTACTCTCTAGTTCTACTCTTATTCTACTGATAGTCTACTCTCTATTTTACTCTATATTATTACTCTATATTTCTCTTAAGTCTACTCTCTATTCTACTCTCTAGGTTTAATCTTATTCTACTAGCTATTTATACTATCTATTCTACTCTCTGTCTACTCTCTATTCTACTCTCTAGTCTACTCGCTATTCTACTCTATATTCTACTATCGTATTCTACTCTCTATTCTATCTCTCTAGTCTACTATCTATTCTACTCTCTATCTACGCTAGAGTTAATCTCTATTCTATATATAGTCTACTCCTATTCTACTCTCTATTCTACTCTCTAGTATACTCTTATTCTAATCTTATCTACCTCTCTATATAACTCTATTCTACTCTCTATAGATAATCGCTAGTTTAAACTCTCTAGTATATCTCTATTCTCTTCTATATTCAAACTTCTCTTTCTAATCTCTATTCTACTCTCTTATTCTACTATCTATTCTATCTCTAGTCTACTATTATATACTTCTCATCAACTATCTATTCTACTCTCTAGTCTACTCTCTATTATAATCTCTAGTCTACTCTCTATTCTACTCTCTATTCGACTCTCTATTATATCTCTATTATACTCTAATTAACTCTATATGATACTCTCTCTATTATACTTCTACGTCTACTATTATGTACTTTCTCTAGTCTACTATCTAGTCTTACTCTAAGTCTACACTCTAGTCTACTCTCTATTTCTACTCTTATTCTACATCAGTATATATCGCTAGTCTGACTCTCTAGTCTTACTCTCTATTCTACTCTATAGTAGTACTCTCTATCTACCTATCTATTATACTCTCTATTCTACTAAGTTACTCTCTATTATACCTCTCTTGTCTACTATCTTATTTACTCTATATTATAATATATATTCTACTCTCTAGTCTACTCTCTATTCTACTCTCTAGTCTACTCTCTATTCTACTCTCTATTTTACTCTAATTCTCTCTCTAGTCTACTCTCTCTTCTACTCTCTAGTCTACTATCTTTCTACTCTCTATTCACTCTCTAGTCTACTCTCTATTCTACTCTCTAGTCTACTCTATATTCTACTCTATATTCTACCTCTATAGTAGTAACCTCTATTCTATCTGAGGCTACTCTCTATTCTACTATCATTACTCTCTAGTCTACTATCTATTATACGCTCGATTTAAATCTTAATACTATCATTATAATCTCTAGTATACTCTCTATTATACTCTCTAGTCTACTCTTATCTACTTATATGCAATTCTCTAGTTACTCTCTATTCTACTATAGTCTACTCTCGATTCTACTCTCTATTCTACTCTCGATTATACTCTTAGTTCTACTCTCTATTCAACTCCTGTTCTACTCTCTATTAAATCTCTAGTTACTCTCTAGTCTACTTTAATTCTACTCTATATCTACTCTCTAGTCTACTCTATATTCTAATCTTAGGCTACTCTCTATTTCTACTCTAAGTTACTCTCTAGTCTATCTCTAGTCTACTCTCTATCTACTCCGAGTGATAATTCTTAATGCTACTCTCTATTCTTAATCTATGTCTACTCTCTAATTCTACTCTCTAGTCTAATCTCTTAGTCTTACTCTCGAGCTACTCTCTATGTCTACTCTTGATTCTACTCTCTAGTCTACTCTCTATCTACTCTATAGTAGACTCTTAGATTCTACGTATAGTCTACTCTCTATGCTAACTCTAGTATACGCTTAGGCGAGCTCGTATAGGATACGCTCTAGTCATAATCGTCTATTCTACTTTAGTCGATACTCTCTAGGCGAATATCTATTATATCGCGCTAGTCGACGCGAAGGAGACGCGCGAGGCGCTCGCTAGCGCGCGGCGAGGCGAAGCGCGAGGGACGCGCGAGGCGACGCGAGGAGAAGCGGAGTCGAGCGCGAGGCGACGCGCGAGGCGGACGCGCGCGCGACGCGCGAGGCGACGCGCTAGGCGACGCGCGAGGAGACTCGGAAGGCGGACGCGCGAGGGCGGACCGCGAGCTACGCGGAGGCGACGCCGGGGCGACGCGAGAGGGACGCGCGAGGCGACGCGCGATGCGACGCGGCTAGGCGACGCGCGAGGCGACGCGCGAGGCACGCGCGGAGGCGACGCTGCGAGGCGACGCGCGAAGGAGACGTCGAGTCGACGCGCGAGGCGACGGCGAGCGACGCGCGAGGCCTCGCGGTCGACGCGCTAGTAACGCTCGAGTCGACGCGCTAGGCTCGCGCAGGCTACGCTCGATGCGACGCTTAGGAGACGAGCGCGGAGGACTGTAGGCTACTCGCGTGGGCGACGCGCTAGGCGAATCGCTAGGCGACGCGGAGTCACTCTATATGCGGAATGTCGATATGCTTACTCTCTATTCTACTCTTCTAGTCTACTCTCGAGTCTACTCGCGATGCTTACGCTCGAGTGACGCGTCTAGTATACTCTCTAGTCTACTCTCTATTCACTCTCTATTTTACTCTCTAGTTCTACTATCATTGGTTCTTTTGTCTTTCAATCCTCGCCACATTGACCACACACACACACACATACACACACAACCCACACACACAAACACACACAGACAGGCACACACACAAACACACACAGAAAATGATAACACTGAGAGTGTTACATTTAACACTGGTCCAGTGTCTAGTGGGTCCAACTTTTCAGTATTAAATAACAAACTGCTTAGTGTTCATTTCCTCTTAGGTAAGGGGAAAGATTCTTAAGGTGAAACCCCGGGCCCCAGTTCAAAAAAACATCTAGTGTTTCCTTAAGGAATAAACTTCCATTACCTAAGGGACTGGAAACACGTTGCAGTTATATGTTCTTGTTTATGGGCGTGCATAGAGCCCTCACATATTTCATTAGTAAGGGCATAATTTTAAGGGGTTTACAGTAGGTGAAGACCTCACGCCAGAAAAGAGTCTCTGTGTTTACCATGGAGACAAGCTGATTCAATGACTAAAGGTCTTGTCAAAGATGCACACATTATTAATTTGTGAGAATAGCCAAAAGAGAACTAATACGATCAACATTATTTGGATAATCAATTGCGTCAGGGGTTAAGAACCACGTTTATGTTAGTTACTTCCAACTCGTTTCTATTACTTCTAGCACTTTCAAGCTAGTTTTACCGAGTAGCTACCACAGTAACTAGCAAGCGTGTTACTCCGCGTCTGGCGTCGTGAGGGAGCTTGTTCACCATTGGGGTTGACCAGAGCAGCGAACAGCTTGACTGGGGCTGAGCGGGAACTATGCTTCGCAGAGGAAGGGGAGCCAGCAGGCCAGAGGTGGATGAACGCAATGCCCTCGCCTGGGTGTAGGGACTGATCAGAGCCTGAAGGTACGGAGGTGCCGTTCCCCTCACTGCTCCATAGGCAAGCACATGGTCTTTGTAATGGATGCGAGCTTTCAACTGGAAGCCAGTGGAGTGTGCGGAGGAGGGGGGGTGACGTGAGGAGAGAACTTGGGAAGGTTGAACACCAGACGGGCTGCGGCATTCTGGATGAGTTGTAGGGGTTTAATGGCACAGGCAGGGAGCCCAGCCAACAGCGAGTTGCAGTAATCCAGACGGGAGATGACAAGGGCCTGGATTTGGACCTGTTGCCGCTTCCTGTGTAAGGCAGGGTCGTACTCTCCGAATGTTGTAGAGCATGAACCTGCAGGATCGGGTCACCGCCTTGATGTTGGCGGGAGAACGACAGGGTGTTGTCCAGGGTCACGCCAAGGCTCTTCGCCACTCTGGGAGGAGGACACAACGGAGTTGTCAACCGTGATGGCGAGATCATGGAACGGGCAGTCCTTCCCCGGGAGGAAAGAGCAGCTCCGTCTTGCCAGGGTTCAGCTTGAGGTGGTGATCCGTCATCCATACTGATATGTCGGCCAGACATGCAGAGATGCGATTCGCCACCTGGTTATCAGAAGGGGGAAAGGAGAAGATTAGTTGTGTATCGTCAGCGTAGCAATGATAGGAGAGGCCATGTGAGGATATGACAGAGCCAAGTGACTTGGTGTATAGGGAGAAAAGGAGAGGGCCTAGAAACTGAGCCCTGGGGGACACCAGTGGTGAGAGCACGTGGTGCGGAGACAGCTTCTCGCCACGCCACTTGGTAGGAGCGACCGGTCAGGTAGGACGCAATCCAGGAATGAGCCGCGCCGGAGATGCCCAGCTCGGAGAGGGTGGAGAGGAGGATCTGATGGTTCACTGTATCAAAGGCAGCAGACAGGTCTAGAAGGACAAGAGCAGAGGAGAGAGAGTTAGCTTTAGCAGTGCGGAGAGCCTCCGTGACACAGAGAAGAGCAGTCTCAGTTGAATGACCAGTCCTGAAACCTGACTGGTTTGGATCAAGAAGGTCATTCTGAGAGAGATAGCAAGAGAGTTGGCTAAAGACGGCACGCTCAATAGTTTTGGAAAGAAAAGAAAGAAGGGATACTGGTCTGTAGTTGTTGACATCAGTGGGATCGAGTGTTGGTTTTTTGAGAAGGGGTGCAACTCTCGCTCTCTTGAAGACGGAAGGGACATGGCCAGCGGTCAAGGATGAGTTGATCAGCGAGGTGAGGTAGGGGAGAAGGTCACCGGAGATGGTCTGGAGAAGAGAGGAGGGGATGGGGTCAAGCGGGCAGGTTGTTGGGCGGCCTGCAGTCACTAGTCGCAAGATTTTATCTGGAGAGAGAGGGGAGAAAGAAGTCAAAGCATAGGGTAGGGCAGTGTGAGCAGGACCAGCAGTGTCATTAGACTTAACAAACGAGGATCGGATGTCGTCAACCTTCTTTTAAAAGTGGTTGACAAAGTCATCCACAGAGAGGGAGGAGGGGGGGGGGGGGGGGGGGGGGGGGGGGGAGGATTCAGCAGTGAGGAGAATGTGGCAAAGAGCTTCCTAGGGTTAGAGGCAGATGCTTGGAATTTAGAGTGGTAGAAAGTGGCCTTAGAAGCAGAAACAGATGAAGAAAATGTAGAGAGGAGGGAGTGAAAAGATGCCAGGTCGGCAGGGAGTTTAGTTTTCTTCCATTTCCGCTCAGCTGCCCGGAGCTCTGTTCTTTGAGCTCGCAATGAGTCATCAAGCCACAGAGCCATTTAATGGCTGCCTGTTCTCTCTAGTCTACTCTATTCTACTCTCTAGTCTACTCTCTAGTCTACTCTATTCTACTCTCTAGTCTACTCTCTAGTCTACTCTCTCTCTCTCTCTCTCTCTCTCTCTCTATCTCTCTATCTCTCTCTCTGTCTCTGTCTCTCTCTCTCTCTCTCTGTCTCTCTCCTCTCTATATCTCTTATCTCCTATCTCTCTCTCTCTCTCTCTCTCTCTCTCCTCCTCTCTCTCTCTCTCTCTTCTCTCTCTCTCTACTCTCTCTGGTCTTCTCTATCTCTCTCTCTCTCTCTCTCTCTCTACTCTCTCTTCTCTCTCTCTCTCTCTCTCTCTCTCTCTCTCTCTCTATCCCTCTCTCTCTCTCTCTCTCTATCCCCTCTCTCTCTCTCTTTCTCTCTCTTTATCGTTCTCTGGCAACACTTTACTCTTCCTCCCCTGGAAAGTCCCAAAGAGGCCTTTGTGGATTTTACCTTTGATATAAGTAGCCTTTGTGGATGGTTAATTTGTCCCCCTGTTTCCCTCTTCATTTAATGGCTGCCTGTTCTTTCTAGTCTACACTCTAGTCTACTCTCTATTCTACTCTCTAGTCTACTATCTATTCTACTCTCTAGTCTACTCTCTATTCTACTCTCTATTCTACTCTCTAGTCTACTCTCTAGTCTACTCTCTATTCTACACTCTAGTCTACTCTCTATTCTACTCTCTATTCTACTCTCTATTCTACTCTCTATTCTACTCTCTAGTCTACTCTCTATTCTACTCTCTATTCTACTCTCTATTCTACTCTAGTCTACTCTCTATTCTACTCTCTTGTCTACTCTCTATTCTACTCTCTATTATACTCTCTATTCTACTCTCTAGTCTACTCTCTATTCTACTCTCTAGTCTGCTCTCTATTCTACTCTCTATTCTACTCTCTATTCTACTCTCTAGTCTACTCTCTATTCTACTCTCTATTCTACTCTCTATTCTACTCTCTAGTCTACTCTCTAGTCTACTCTCTAGGCTACTCCTTATTTACTCTCTATTCTACTCTTAGTCTACTCTCTATCTACTCTCTAGTCTACTCTCTATCTACTCTCTATTTACTCTCTAGTCTACCCTTTTAGTCTACTCTCTATCTACTCTATTCTATCTCTAGTCTACTCTAGTCTACTCTCTAGTCTACTCTCTATTCTACTCTCTATTCTACTCTCTATTCTACTCTCTAGTCTACTCTCTATTATACTCTCTAGTCTACTCTCTATTCTACTCTCTATTCTACTCTCTAGTCTACTCTCTAGTCTACTCTCTATTCTACTCTCTATTCTACTCTCTAGTCTACTCTCTATTCTACTCTCTAGTCTACTCTCTATTCTACTCTCTATTACTCTCTAGTCTACCTCTATATACTCTCTAGTTACTCTCTATTCTCTATCTATTATACTATCTATTCTATTTATTCTACTCTCTAGTCTACTCTCTATTTACTCTCTAGCTTACTCTCTATTCTACTCTCTAGTCTACTCTCTAGTCTACTCTCATATCTACTATCTCTAGTCTACTCTCTATTCTACTCCTACCTCTAGTCTACTCTCTATTATACTCTCTATTCTACTCTATGTCTACTCTCTAGTCTACTCTTATTACTACTCTATGTCTATACTCTTAGTCTTACTCTCTATTATACTCTTTTTATTTCTACTCTCTATTCTACTCTCTTATTCTACTCTCTATTCTATCTCTATTATACTCTCTAGTCTACTCTCTATTTCAATCTCTAGTCTACCTCTTTTTAGTCTACTCTCTATTCTACTCTCTATTATACTCTCTATTCTACTCTCTATTATACTCTCTATCTACTCTATCTACGCTATATCTACTCTCTAGTCTACTCTCTATTCTACTATCTAGTCTAAATCTCTAGTCTACTCTATTCTACTCTAGTCTACTCTCTATTCTACTCTCTATTCACTCTCTATTCTACTCTCTAGTCTACTCTCTAGTCTACTCTCTAGTCTACTCTCTATTTACTCTCTAGTCTTTCTCTCTTTTTCTACTCTATTATACTCTCTATTCTACTCTCTAGTTACTCTATTACTCTCTAGTCTACTCTCTCTACTCTCTAGCACTCTATGTC